TTTGGGTTGTTGGTTTATAGTTAGTGGTTGGAATTAGGGCTTAGTGAATAGGATTTGGGATTAGGGATTAGGGATTAGGAGTTAGGACTTTAGAGATTAGGGATTAGGGGTTTGGGATTCGGGATTCGGGATTATTGTTGTTTTGCTTCTCCTCCTCATCATTCTTATCATTTTTTTTTCTTTTATTGTTTCTGATATGTTTTGGATTTTCAGTTTTATGTGCGTAACTAATCTAATGTGTATTGTGATTTCAGTTGTTAGTGGAATGGATGGGATAAGCTTGCAAGCGGAGTTTAGAAGCGAAAATATAAGTATATCCATTTGTGCAAATTTGAAAGGCTTTCTTTTACTTGTGAAATGCGTTTTACACATGACAATTTGTACATCTTCTTGTGTTTCTTACTTGTTATGATCATTGTTTCTATTATTTTCAATTCCGGGCATTCTTATTAAACCACTATTTGCTTTTTATTTTTCGTTATTGTTTTTATGTTTTGCATAATCTATAATTGCATAACATTTCTTTGATTATATGTGGTTTGTTTGCTTTTCTATTAGATTAATTATGTTTTGTTTTCTTTATTTGGGTTGTTGGTTTATAGTTAGGGGTTGGGGATTAGGGCTTAGTGAGTAGGATTTGGGATTTTGGATTAGGAATTTGGGATTAGAGATTACGGATTACGGATTAGGGGTTAGGGGTTCGAGATTTGGATATATTGTTGTTTTGCTTCTTTTGCTCCTCTTCCTCATCATTTTTATCTTGTTTTTTCTTTTATTGTTTCTGATATGTTTTGGATTTTCATTTTTATATGCGTAACTAATCTAATGTCTATTGAGATTTCAGTAGTTAGTGGAATGGACGAGATAAGCTTTGCAAATGGAGTTTAGGAGCGAAAAGATAAGTATATCTATTTATCCAAACTTTATTCCCTTTCTTTTACATGTGAAATTTGTTTTGCACATGACTATTTCTACATCATCTTGTGTTTCTTACTTGTTATGATCATTGTTTCTATTATTTTCAATTCCTGACAGTCTCATTAACCCACTGTTTGTTTTTCATTTTTCGTTATTGTTTTCATGTTTTGCACCACCTATAATTGCATAGCATTTATTTGATTATATGTGCTTTGTTTGCTTTTCTATTAGTTTGATTATGTTGTTTTCTTTTTTTGGGTTGTTGGTTTATAGTTAGGGGTGGGGGACTAGAGCTTAGGGAGTAGGATTTCGGATTAGGGATTAGGGATTAGGGATTAGAGATTAGGGATTAAGGATTAGGGATTAGGGACTAGGAATTAGGGATTAGGGTTTAGGGGTTAGGGGTTCGGGATTTGGGTTTATTGTTGTTTTACTTCTTTTGCTCCTCCTCCTCATCATTTTTATTCTATTTTTTTCTTTTATTGTTTCTTATATGTTTTGGATTTTCATTTTTATGTGCGTAACTAATCTAATGTGTATTGTGATTTCAGTTGTTAGTGGAATGGACGAGATAAGCTTGCAAACGGAGTTTAGAAGCGAAAAGATAAGTATATCTATTTATGCAAATTTGATTGCCTTTCTTTTACATGTGAAATTTGTGTTGCACATGACTATTTCTACATCTTCTTGTGTTTCTTACTTGTTATGATCATTGTTTCTATTGTTTTAAATTCCGGGCATTCTTATTAAACAACTTTTTGCTTTTCATTTTTGTTATTGTTTTAATGTTTTATATTACCTATAATTGTATAACATTTCTTTGATTATATGTGTTTTGTTTGCTTTTCTATTCGATTATTTATGTTTGTTTCCTTTATTTGGGTTGTTGGTTTATAGTTAGTGGTTGGGAATTAGGGCTTAGTGAATGGGATTAGGGATTAGGGATTAGGGATTAGGAGTTAGGACTTTAGAGATTAGGGATTAGGGGTTTGGGATTCGGGATTCGGGATTATTGTTGTTTTGCTTCTCCTCCTCATCATTCTTATCATTTTTTTTTCTTTTATTGTTTCTGATATGTTTTGGATTTTCAGTTTTATGTGCGTAACTAATCTAATGTGTATTGTGATTTCAGTTGTTAGTGGAATGGACGAGATAAGCTTGCAAGCGGAGTTTAGAAGCGAAAAGATAAGTATATCCATTTGTGCAAATTTGATAGGCTTTCTTTTACTTGTGAAATGCGTTTTACACATGACAATTTGTACATCTTCTTGTGTTTCTTACTTGTTATGATCATTGTTTCTATTATTTTCAATTCCGGACACTCTCATTAACCCACTGTTTGTTTTTCATTTTTCGTTATTGTTTTCATGTTTTGCACCATCTATAATTGCATAACATTTCTTTGATTATATGTGCTTTGTTTGTTTTTCTATTACTTTAATTATGTTGTTTTCTTTTTTGGGTTGTTTGTTTATAGTTAGGGGTGGGGATTAGGGCTTAGTGAGTGGGATTTGGGATTAGGGATTAGGAGTTACGACTTTAGAGATTAGGATTAGGGATTAGGGGTTCGGGATTTGGGTTTATTGTTGTTTTGCTTGTTTTGCTCCTCCTCCTCATCATTCTTATCCTTTTTTTTTATTATTATTTTTGATATGTTTTGGATTTTTATTTTTATATGCGTAATTAATGAAATGTGTATTGTGATTTTAGTTGTTTGTGGAATGAACGAGATAAGCTTGCAAACGGAGTTTAGGAGCGAAAAGATAAGTATATCATTTTGTGCAAATTTGATTGTCTTTTCGTTTACATGTGAAATTTGTTTTGCACATGACTATTTGTACATCTTCCTGTGTTTATTAACCCACTGTTTGTTTTTCATTTTTCATTATTGTTTTCATGTTTTGCACCACCTATAATTGCATAGCATTGCTTTGATTATATGTGCTTTATTTACTTTTCTATTAGATAAATTATGTTTTATTTCATTTGTTTGGCTTGTCGATTTATAGTTAGGGGTTGGAAATTAGGGCTTCTGGAATAAGGATTTGAAATTAGGGATTAGAGATTAGAGATTAGGGATTAGGGATTAGGGATTAGGGATTAAGGGTTAAAGGTTAGGGATTTGGGTTGATTGTTCTTTTGCTCCACCTCCTCATCATTCTTATCCTATTTTTTTCTTTTTCTTATGTTTTGGATTTTCATTTTTATATGCGTAACTAATCTAATGTGTACTTTGATTTCAGTTGTTAGTGGCATGGACGAGATAAGGTTGAAAGCGGAGTTATGGTGCGAAAAGATAAGTATATCTATTTGTGCAAATTTGATTGGCTATCTTTTACATGTGGAATTTGTTTTACACATGACTATTTTTGTATTTTCTTGTGTTTCTTACTTGTTATGTTCATTGTTTCTATTATTTTCAATTCCGGTCACTTTCACTAACCCACTCTTTACTTTTTATTTTTCATTATTGTTTTCATGTTTTGCAGTACCTATAATTGCATATCATTTCTTTGATTATCTGTGGTTTGTTTGTTTTTCTATTAGATTAATTATGTTTTATTTCGTTTTTTTGAATTTTTGATTTATAGTTAGGGGTTAGGGATTAGAGCTTATAGTGAGTAGAATTTGGGATTAGGGATTACAGATTGTGTATTAGGGATTAGAAATTAGGGATTATGGATTACGGATTAGGTGTTAGGGGTTAGGGATTTGGGTTTATTGTTGTTTTGCTTCTTTTGCTCCACCTCCTCATCATTCTTTTCCTATTTTTTTCTTTTATTGCTTTTGTTATGTTTTGAATTTTCATTTTTATGTGCATAACTAATCTAATGTGTATTTTGATTTCAGTTGTAAGTGGAATGGACGAGATAAACTTGAAAGCGGAATTTAGGGGCGAAAAGATAAGTATATCTATTTGTGCAAATTTAATTGGCTTTCTTTTACATATGAAATGTGTTTTACACATGACTATTTCTACATCTTCTTGTGTTTCTTAGTTGTTATGATCATTGTTTCTATTATTTTCAATTCCCAACACTCTCATTATCTCACTATTTGCATTTCATTGTTCGTTATTGTTTTCATGTTTTACACAACCTATAATTGCAAAGGATTTCTTTGATTATATGTGGTTTGTTTGTTTTTTTATTAGATTAATTATGTTTTGTTTCCTTTTTTTAGCATGTCGGTTTATAGTTAGAGGTTGAGAATTAGGGCTTAGGGAGTAGGGGTTTGAGATTAGGGATTAGCGATTAGGGATTAGGAATTACGGATTAGGGGTTAGGAAATTGGGTTTATTGTTCTGTTGCTTCTTTTGCTCCACCTCCTTATCATTTTTCTCCTATTTTTTAATTTTATCGTTTTTGTTATGTTTTGAATTTTCATTTTTATGTGCGTAACTAATCTAATGTGTACTTTGATTACAGTTGTTAATGGAATGGACGAGATAAGGTTGAAAGCGGAGTTTAGGAGCGAAAAGATAAGTATAACTATTTGTACAAATTTGATTGGCTTTCTTTTACATATGAAATGTGTTTTACACATGACTATTTGTACATCTTCTTGTGTTTCTTAGTTGTTATGATCATTGTTTCTACTATTTTCAATTCCCAACACTCTCATTATCCCTCTGTTTGTTTTTCATTCTTCGTTATTGTTTTAATGTTTACACAACCTATAATTGCATAGCATTTGTTTGATTGTATGTGCTTTGGTTGCTTATCTATTAGATTAATTATGTTTTATTTCCTTTTTTTGGATTGTCGGTTTATAGTTCGGGTTGGGGATTAGGGCTTAGGATTAGGGGTTAGGAATTTGGGTTTATTGTTCTTTTGTTTCTTTTGCCCCACCTCCCCATCATTCTTATCCTCTTTTTTGTTTTAGTGTTTTTGTTATGTTTTGGATTTTCATTTTTATGTGCTTAACTAATCTTGAGACTGTGTGGATGCTTCAATGGCCTTTCTCTTATCCATGCACTTATCAGAGGTGTCCCTATGCTCATTTTTTGGGCATTATGGAAAGGAAGGTGTAGGAGGAGGTTTGAGGGATTGAGATTAAATGCTTTGAAATGGCAATCTTATATGATCAAACCAAAGAAAGAGGAAGGTAGAGCTGGTACAGATATGTTGCAAGACCTTAGGATTTATCCCCCTTTTTCGGTCACCACTAAAGTGAAATGTATGAATTGGGAACCTCCTGCAATTAACAAGGTAAAATTAAACTTTGATGGGACTTCCAAGCAAAATGGCCTTTCTAGTGGTGGGATGATTTTAAGGGATTCTAAGGGGCATGTTTTGTTAGCCGCTGCTGCAGCTTATGGGATTGGCTCTAATATGAAAGCAGAATGTCTGGCCTTATTGGATGCTCTAAAAATGATTATGCATCATGGTTTGGGTACTTCTCAGCTTGTTTTGGAATCTGACTCTCAAGTATTGGTTAACGTGGCGCTGGGGGTGGTTGAGGTTCCATGGCGTTTATCTATTTATATGGAGCAAATTTTAGATATTCTTGAGAAGATGAATTACCATATTAGGCATGTGTAAAGGGAAGCAAATAGAGTTGCAGACTTCCTGGCTTCTTATGCAGTGCAGGCTGGTAGGTATTCTGATTTTTCTGATAATGGTACTCTGCCTAGTACTGGCAGATTACTTCTACAACAATACCAAGGAATGATAGCTTCTGCTAGACTAAACAAGGTTTTGATAAGTGAGCATAGGCAGGGGATTGGTTGACACTGGGCTTGGGGTCTTTGTGCACCTGCTGCTTGGTTTCTGGGCAGTGTTGTGTCTGGTTTGGCTCAGGCTCAGTTAGGGTGTTGAGGCCTTGGTGATGTGCTGCTGTATTTATGGCGTTGGAGCAGGGTTCCCTACTGATTTAGGTAAGGTCCCATCTGGGGCTATCTTCTGGCTGTTAATCCTGTTGTAGGATTAAAGCCAACTTATGTTGGTCTTCCTTTTCTTCATCACTCATCATCTCTTTATGTGAGGTGCTGGATGGTTGCTGATGTGATATTTTTACTTGGGCATGGTGCTGGGCTTTGATGCAGGGTCATTTTTCATTTTGCTGATTTTTCTCTCTGCTGTGGGTCTTGTGCTCTGTTCATGCGACTGTTCACGTGTATGGCGTTTCTCTGCTGCTATTGCTTTCTGTCCAGCTGGTCCTCTTCTGTTTGGATCCTGTTCAGCTGGTCTGCTGGGGAGTGATGGTGGCCTTTCTGGTCCATTGGCATTCATTGATGGTTGCTGCTGGATCAGTCCAGCTTTTCTCCTTGGTTGCTGTTTTTTGATGGCCACTCTCTCCCCAATACTATGTCTTTGAGGTTATTCACATGGTTTCAGCTGGATGCATTATTCAAGTGCCTCTCAGATGGTTCTCTCTCGGCTGCTTTTATGGCATACTGTCCCATACATCTTGAGCTGTTTTTCAGCTTTTTCTGCGCCTTCAGCTGGATTGCTCCCCAATTTGCTGCTGTTTGCCACTGTTCACGTGACTGTGCACGTGAACAGTCAGGTTGCTGTCCCAGGTTTTTTTGGTTCTCTGCGGGCTCTTTAAAGGTTCCTCAGCTGGTTTTCCTCGGGTCCCTTTCACTTTCGCCTCTCAGCTGGTCCTCTCATGCTGCTGGTTTGATGGTTCTCATTGCAGTCAGTTGGAGCCTTTATTCTCAGCTGGTCTTTACGGGACTCCACCTGTTCTCCCTGGTTCTTTTCAGCTGGTCTTCCTCCAGTTAGCTTACTATTTTTAGCTTTATGGTCTGGCTGCTTTGATGCCTGTTGGTCTTTCAATGTTAGGGGCAGTTTGGCTCTGTTCAGCTGCTCATTTTGCTATTTTATTTTGAAGGTTTAAAGCCAACTTTGGCTTCCATGTTCTGTTTAATGCTCTGCTTTTTGCTTCTTGTAATCTTGGTTCTTATCTATAAAATTTTCTCTTTATTTAAAAAAAAAAAGGGGGGGGGGGGTTAGGGATTAGGTCTTAGGGAGTAGGGCTTAGGGTGTAGGGATTAGGTATTAGGGATTAAGGATTAGGGCTTTGGGAGTACGGATTAGGGGTTAGGGGTTAGGGGTAGGGGTTAGGGGTTAGGGGTTAGGGATTTGGGTTTTTTGTTCTTTTGTTCCACCTTCTCATCACTCTTATCTAATTTTTTTCTTTTATTGTTGTTTGTTATCTTTGAATTTTCATTTTTATGTGCGTAACTAATCTAATTTGTGCTTTGATATCAGTTGTTAGTGGAATGGACGAGATAAGCTTGAAAGCGGAGTTTAGGAATGAAAAGATAAGTATATCTATTTGTCCAAATTCTATTGGCTTTCTTTTACATGTAAAATGTGCTTTACACTTGACTATTTCTACTTCTTGTGTTTCTTACTTGTTATGATCTTTGTTTCTATTATTTTCAATCCCCCACACTCTCATTATTCCACTATTTACTTTTTATTTTTCGTTGTTGTTTTCGTGTTTTATACAACCTATAATTGAATAACATTTCTTTGATTACATGTGTTTTGTTTGCTTTTCTATTAGATTATTTATGTTTTATTTCTTTTGTTATTGTCTTTCTATTGAAATTGTTAAATGTTGGAAACAAAATTTAATTACTTGGAGAGGGAGCAAGTGGTTAAATCATATGGTGAAAAATTAGGAGTTTGTAGCGTGTTAAAAATACTAATAGAATATAGAATTTAAATAGGGTTTAGGGCTTTTGTGATGAGAAATATCTTCTTGTTCATGTTGGTTTTTTTCCTTTGCTTTTTGTGTTTTACCAGCAAACTGAAACAGTGAATATAGGAATATATGATCATTCAGTTCCCAAAGCCCATCCTGTGAAGGGTAATTTTTGCCTTGGCTTGATGAAAATTTTGAATATAGTGCTTAGTAACTGGTCAAGTGTCGTATCTTGTTTGTATTTAATGAAATTATATTGGTTTCTGTCTTCTGCTTGGTGTCTGTTGTTGGGTGTGCTATTACTTCCTTAACTCTTACCTTGCAGAGTAGGCGGCAAATGGCTACATGACACAACATTCATTTAGCGGCTCCATAGATAGTGCAAACATCACTGATGATGGTATGTATCAATAACTCTTGGTTGTTCAGTCTTGCATATGCCTGCATATCATTTTTTTCATGATGAGTGATTTAATCCAAGTTTTGGACAACAGCGTAAAAGCAAGCTAATCAACGATTTTCTATGACCCCTTACATAACACCCCGTCTCACTCCAATGGGAACTCCAAAAATAATTTCCACGAGTGTGTCCCCCAGAAGGTATTCGGCTGCTGGATCTCCTCAGAAAAGTTCTGCTACCACTTCTCCAAGAAAAAATCAATATGAAGGACGGGGTGCACTGTCTTCATGGTACCCGTCAAGCCAGCAGTCATCAGCCGCAAACTCTCCTCCACATGGACACCCAATGCCAGGTTTGGAAAGCCTATTGCAATTTCCAATTTGACTTCTGGCATGATACATTTGCAATCTCGACTTGTCTAGTTCCTTCATTACAGCAATCACTAGTGCAGCAGATGCACTATGAATACAGTGCAATCAAAGTTCAGAGGCCAGCTGCAACTGTGACCACTGAACAACCAAAAACCACCTGCAAAGGAGCTGAAACTCCATTTGAAATTCGAGAAGAAGTCCCAAGCAGTTGAAACCAGCACCAGAAGCATTAACACTGTTCACGGGAGCAGTCCCATGAGCAGTCACGTGAGCAGTGCCCTTCAACCCAGAACCAACTGCATTCAATGGAGAAACTCTTAAAACAAACCTCAGAGAGCAGCTGAAAACAAAGGCCAGCTGAAAGCAGGCTGTTCACGTGAACAGTGCACTCCTGCCCATAGTAGCAAATGAAAAACCGGATACTCCCCACAACTGCAATAATAAGAGACCAAGAACCCCACATGAATCCATAATGCCCAGCAAGGCCACAGGGTCCCATCTGAGGTAGGCCAAGCAATGAGGATCCCAGCTAGAAAATACCCCAGCAGACAAAAAAGCATGATCATAATAAAAAAATAGCAAATTTTTTCCTAGGCGTTTTAATGCCTTGTTGATCCTGCCTCTGAATAAATTTAGCTTGAAGAGGGATTTTCAAATCTTGTGTGTGGTCCGTTGAAGCACTTTCCAGAACAACGAGATTAGCTAAACAATCAGCCAAAGAATTCGCTTCCCTGTACACGTGAGCCAGACAGAAATTCATGCCCTCCAACAATCCCATAATTTCATCACAGATCCCCCAAAACTTCGAGGCCCTCATGTGTCCTTTCATTATCATTTGGACCATAACCGCCGAGTCAGTTTCAATATGGAGGCCATAGTCTAACAGACCATAACTTCTAAACAACAATAGGTCATCCTTCAGGGCACATAGCTCAGCCTCCATGTTGGAACAAACCCCATAGAAAAATGATGCAGCCAAAACTAAGTGCCCCCATTCATTCCTTACCACAGCGCCACCCCCAGCTCTACCAGGATTGCACTTTGATGCCCCTTCAACATTAAGCTTTAACTGACCAGGGGGAGGAGGAGACCAGTTAATCCAAATCACCTTCGGTTTCAACTCATACCTTACCTCAACCTTTATAGCCTGCAAAAACTCCGTGCCCATAATGCCCTCTGCCGCTTTGGGTCTAATACCATGAGCCTGCAGTCTAAGAGCTGAACAAACCTCCAAGAACAGAGCATGGGCATTTAAAGAGATATCTTCATAAATTCTTTTACATCTCTCCCTCCACAATTTCCAAAATATCAACAAAGGAGCACCACCAAGTAGGCTGTGATACACAGACTGCTTTTTAAAAATCCTTGTCAACCTCATCATTCGCACCATAGGAGTTTCAGATGTAAAAATTTGGAAACCACCACATACAGCTAGTTTTCTCCACACTTCGTTTGCAAATGGGCATTGAATAAAGAGATGGTTAACCGATTCCACATCCTGATAACAGAGGGAACACCTACTAGCCAATTCCACTCCAATCTTTTGGAAGTTCGAATCCAAAACCACTGCATGGTGGTGAATTTTCCAACCCAGCAGCATAGCGCTAGGAAAAACAGATTGTTTCCAAATCATGGAGTCCACAGCGTCAGGGTACTTCGACTCCCTTATCGATTGCCAAGCAGATTTGACAGTGAACTTGCCACAATCAGATAAGTTCCAAACCAAGCGGTCGTCTCTATTACATAAAGTGAGGCCAGTGTTTTGAATCTCCTGTTTGAGCGGATCAGGCAAGTCAAAGCCCAATTTATGCCACTGCCATGCCCCACCAACCCAAATATCAGTTAGACTTGGGAAAGACAAAGGAAGCCCCTCTATTCTGTTTAACAAGGGGCCAGTACCAACCCAGTTAGTGCACCAAAAATTCACTGACCTACCATTACCAACCAGCACCTAGGAGTTACACACAACAGAAAAGAAGAAAGGCTGAAGCATACGAAAAATTCATGCTTTCCCCGTGCTAGGACATCTCAGCATGTGCTTTCCCCTTAGGAACTTTGCCCTAAACATGTTCTCCCACAGGGAATCGCCCTTTAAAATTCCCCACACCTGCTTCCATCTAAAAGCCATTTGGAGATCCTCAAGTTTCCTAATTCCAAGTCCCCCCTCATCCTTCGGTCTTGAGATATCAGCCCAAGAGACCCATTGCCTTTTCTTCTCTCCCATCTTACCAGACCACAAAAAGAGGCGATCAAGGACCTCAGCTTGAAGAGAATACCTTCGGGGAGGTTGAGACAAGGGAGCAAGTGCACAGGGATGGCATTTAAAACCGACTTAATCAGCACAATTCTTCCCATACTAGAAAGGAGACCAGCATACCATCCTTCCATTTTGGCCTTGAATTTTAAAACCACATCCTCAAAGTCACGCAAACGATACCTTCCTTTTATCATTGGGCAACCCAAATAGACTAAGGGACACTTTTTAATAGGGATTTGTGCTATCCTAGACAATGCCCTTTGCCTGCCCAGAGGGATCTTAGAGGAGCAAAAAAGAGTGCTCTTTTCCTTGCTTATTTTCTGTCCAGACCCGCCCTCATATCTAGCCAAGAAAATCATCAAATGCTCCATGGATAACTTGTTACCTCTAAGGAATAACAGAGTGTCGTCGGCAAAGAGCAAGTGAGAAACCAACAGGCCACCCCTACCTGCGTGAAAGCCTTTAACCCTACCTTCCCCATATAATTGGGCCAGTCCCCTGCTTAAGACTTCCTCCGCCAAGATAAACAGAGCAAGGGCTATCGGGTCGCCTTGTCTCAACCCTCTAGAAGATGGAAAATAGCCAAAGCATTTCCCATTGAGGCAAATAGAAAAAAATTGGTTCTGCAGGCAGTTGCCAATGATAGAGACAAATGAGCTTGAGAAACCAAAACACTCGAGAGTTCTTTTTAGAAAATTCCACTCCATGCGGTCATACGCCTTCATCATGTCCAATTTAACAATCACGTTACCGGCTTCAACTTTCCTGTCAAGCTCTCCAACCATCAGCTGGGCCAGTGAAATACAGTCACCAATCCCTCTCCCTTCAACAAAACCATGCTGTGCATTTGAGATCAAAGAGGGGAGGAGGGCCGCGAGTCTGTTTGAAAGAATCTTAGTAAAAACTTTGTACAGGAAGTTGCAGAGACTTATAGGCCTAAATTCTGAAAACGAACTAGGCTTGGTCACTTTCGGAATTAAGACAAGGAGAGTAGAGTTAACAGACCTAGGAACCACTACTCCACCCAAGAAAAAATTGACAGCTTCTAATAAGTCACTTTTAATGATGTCCCATGCCACTTGGAAGAATTTTCCAGAAAAGCCATCTGCGCCAGGGGCACTCTCCATAGACATGGAGAATACAACCTGTCTCAGCTCTTAAACCCTAAACCCTAAACCTTTTTTTTTTTTTTTTTTGAACAGAAAAATATATTGAATGAACAAAAATTACAAGAAGCAAAGAAGCCAGGCTATGACAAAAAAGAGAAGCCAGGCAGGACAAAAAATAGTGGAAAAGAAGGCAGGCAAAGTCCAGCTAAACCTAGACAAAGGCAGCTGGAAAGTCAGCTGGAAACCAGCTAAAAAGGGAATCACACCAGCTGCAATAAAGCTGGAACCCAGAAGAGCAAAGGAGCTCCAGTCCAGGACAGGCAGCATCAAAGAACAGGGGCAGCAAAACAGCAGGCAGCAGAAGCAAAACCAGCTGGGCACAGACAGACACACCCCCAGCACAGCACATAGACAGATCAACAGGAACCAGGCCAGTAGAAGGCAGCAACCACAAAGAGGCAACATACCAACCCATGCCATTGAACACAGGGGAGGAGTCAGGACAAACAGGAACAGCCCAGGCAGACCAGAAACACACAGGTGCCCAACCAAAAACAGCAATGGACAACAATGAGACACCTCATAAAACCAAAACAAGGTCCAGGAAAAACCCAGATCAACAAAACCCAATACCCCAGACATCCAGTGCACCAACCTGACCATCAGACCTGCCTAGAACATCAGGCATTAAGTGCATACAAGAACATCCTTCTTAACCAACCCCTTGCCTATGCTCACAAATAGTTACCTTTTTCAATCTAATATTAGGTATCATGCTTTGATCCTGTTTAAGAAGTAATCTGCCAGCAGTAGGCAGCACCCCATTGGCAGAAAAATCAGAATAAATACCAGACTGCACTGCATAGTTAGCCAGAAAATCCGCAATCCTATTTGCCTCTCTATACACATGCCTAATCTGGAAATGCATTTGCCCAAGCATATCTAAAATTTGTTTCATGTAACCTGAAAGTCTCCATGGAGTGACAGCAACCCCCATTATCATATTGACTAACACTTGAGAGTCAAATTCCAAAACAATATGGTAATCATTCAAACCATTGTGCATTATCATTTTCAAGCCATCCAGCATTGCCAGGCATTCAGCTCTCATACTAGTACCAGTCCCATAAAATGCAGCAGCTGCTAAGACAATATGCCCCTTGGAGTCTCTCAAATCCATCCCTCCCCCAGATAACCCATTACCTTTTGAAGCTCCATCAACATTTAATTTCATCATAGTCATAGCTGGAGGTTCCCATGTAATCCATTTCACCTTAGTGATGATAGAAAAGGGTGGTGCAATCCGGAGGTCCTGCAGCATGTCTTTACCATATCTACCTTCCTCTTTCTTAGGCTTAATCATAAAGGCCTGCCATTTCAGTGCATTGACCACCTGGATGAAGACTGCATGGCTGTTTAAATTCAAACCCTCAAATTTTCTCCTACATCTTTCTTTCCATAATGCCCAGAAAATGAGCATAGAAACACCTCTGACAAGAGCATGGCTAAGTGAGAGTCCTTTAAAACACCTACACATTCTCAAAAATCTGCAAATAGGAGGTTCACCAGGTATAAGATCAAAACCCATAACAGCAGCAAATTTCCTCCAAACAGCATGAGCAAAGGGGCAGAGAACAAAAATGTGAATATCAGTCTCCTCATCCATCCCACATAGACTGCATTTGCTAATTAAATACACCCCAATACTTCTTACTCTCTCATCAGTTGTCAAAGCCTTGTTATAAATTTTCCAAGTACAAAGCTGGGCACTAGGGGGCACTTTCTGATTCCAAATCTTTTGTGCAATGACATTGTGTACCCTGGTCCTCCTAATCTGATTCCATGCAGATTTGGTAGTGAAGTTCCCAGAATTAGTACACTCCCACACTCTTTTATCAGCTTTCTCTGGCACCAAAGCACCAGAACTTCTAATCTCCTCTTGCAAATGAGGTGTCAGCCATTCCTCAATGCTTTCAAAATGCCAGCCACCATCATACCATAAATCTTTGACCTTGGGAAAGAAAGAGGGAGGACCTTCAATTTTGTACAGCAAAGGTCCATTCTCCATCCATGAATCACACCAGAAGTCAGTACACTGACCATTCCCCAGCAAAACCTTAGAGTTTGTCACCACAAAATCAAACCATGGTTTCAAAATGTTGAAACTCATACCTGTACCACTGTTACTGCATCTCAGCAAATGCCTTCCCTTAAGATATTTTTCTTTAAAGACCTTTGCCCATAGTGACTACCCATTAAGGATACCCCAAACCTGCTTAACTCTAAATGCATCTTGAATTTCCCCAAAACATCTAATACCTAAACCACCTTCACATTTAGGCTTAGAGATATTATCTAAAGATACCCAATGTCTTCTTCTAGCATCAAGCTTACTAGACCAGATAAAACCAGCTATAAAGGAATTCAGCTCCTTTAAAATTCCTTTTGGGACGTTCAAACAAGCCAGCATATGGATTGGAATAGCACTTAAGACAAATTGCACAAGAATAATCCTTCCCATTCCAGAGAGCATCGTGGCATACCAACCTTCAATTCTACATCTGAAAGTCTTCAAAATCTCCTCAAAGTAGCTAAGTTTCACTCTTCCTCTGATAATGGGGCATCCCAAATAAGAGAAGGGACAACTTATAGGAATCCCCATTAAAGATGATAAGACATACCTCCTTGCCCTGAGATTCTTTTAGAGCAATACATGGCACTTTTAGATTTATTCACTTTTTGACCAGAACAAGATTCATACATACCAATGAACTTAAAAGTATTCGCACAGATTTTTTAGTACCCCTTATAAAGAGCAAAGTGTCATCAGCAAAGAGAAGGTGACTAACCACAGTGGTGCCTCTACCAATATGATAATGGGAAACTAACTTTTGTTGATAAACCCACCTTAACCCTCTGCTAAGAACCTCTTGTGCCAGAATGAATAAAGAAGGAGAAAGGGGGTCTCCTTGTCTTAGACCTCTTGAGTTGGAGAAGTAGCCATATCTTTGCCCATTTAAACAGATAGAAAAGTGTTGATTCTTCAAGCAATTGAGAATAATTTGAGTAAACATATTGGAGAAACCAAAGTGCTTCAACACTTGCAATAAAAAGTCCCACTCAAGCCTATCATAGGCTTTCATCATATCCAATTTCATAACCAAGTTGCCCCCCTCCACTTTCCTGTCCATGTCACCTACCAATAATTGCCCCAGTGCCACACAGTCCCCTATCCCTCTTCCTTGAACAAAACCATGTTGTTCCTCAGAGATTAGGGAAGGTAGCATAGAAGAAAGCCTTGTAGTGAGAAGCTTAGTGAAAATCTTATAAAGGAAATTACACAGACTAATAGGTCTAAAATCAGAGAAAGAAACAGGTGCATCCTTTTTTGGGATTAAAACCAACAAAGTAGAGTTGACAGATTTAGGTATATCTCCGCCTTTCAAGAGAAATTCACGGCTAACCATACATAACTCTTAATAGTTTCCCAAGCAAATTGAAAGAATTTTCTAGAGAGGCCGTCAGGACCAGGAGCACTCTCAATGGCCATAGAGAAAACTACATGTTTTATTTTTTCCATAGAAGCCTCAGTAATCAATTTCTGATTATCCTTATGACTCACCAGATTGGGAATCACATCAAAAACATGGTCTTGTAAAATATGATTTTCAGATCTATACAAATCAGAAAAGAATTCCTCAGCAACCTCAGCAATATTCTGATCACCTTGAACCCAAGTATCCTCCTTATTCTGAATTCTAGAAACTTTGTTTCTCGTCTTCTTACTTTTAGCTAAGGCATGATAAAACTTGGTATTTCTTTCCCCTTCTAAGGCCCATTTGAGATTGAATTTTTGCTTCTAATAAATTTTCTTCCTCCTGAGCCAATTATCCAGATCACTTTTAAATCTGTCAAGCTCTAAGGATTAGCAGCACTGTAATTCTGATCCAATTCCATTTCAACAGTCTTGATTTTTTGTTATTGGTCTTTAATGTTATCAAATAGATCTCCAAAGACTTCCTTATTCCACAACTTAATATGGGCTTTCAAGTATTTCAACTTGATAAACAAATTTGCCATAGGATTGTCAGAGTAAAAACCACCCCATTTCTCCTCAATAAGAGCTCTAAAACCCTCATGATCACACCACATATCTTGGAATCTAAAGTATGAGACTCTTCTTTGATTTGGACTGTCTTTGATGTTGAGAAACAAAAGGGCTATGATCAGATGCACCTCTGGCCCAATGAACAACCTCTATGCTGTCAAACCTCATATTCTAGCTCACATTAACCAAAGCTCTATCAATTCTTTGCATCATTCTAACGTGGCCCTGCCTGTTGTCACACCATGTGTATTTGTTCCCACTAAAACCAACATCCATCAGGCCTCTTTGGTCTATGAAGTTCCTAAAGTCCTCCATAGATGCCGCAGAAGGAGGAGCACCTCCTTTTCTTTCCTCTGAGCATAAAATAGAATTGAAATCCCCAACCACTAACCAAGGAGTGTTGGCAGGGATATTAATCTCCAGTAAGTGCTCCCAAAGTGCTCTTCTAACAGTTTGATTACAACTAGCATACACCACAGAAACCCAGAATACAACATTCTTCATAAAAGTTAACTCCACAGTCAAAACCTGTTCATGAGCAAACAACACCCTTACATTTATTCTATCATCCCACAGTAGCCAAATATTCCTCTCTGCTAGAGGGTTGAATGAGAAATGGTTCAACCCTATACTGCTACCAAAGAGATTGAGCTTAGTAACCAACAACTTAGGTTCTTGTATAGCCACAAAACAAATATCATGAATTCTAATAAGTTTCTTTAGCCTCCTCCTTTTGGCAGCTTTTTCTGCTCTCCTCATATTCCATGAAAAAAGATTTATCATGAGGATATAGAATGGTAGCCCCCACTGGAATTTACTCCATTGGATTCATCTTCTATGTTGAAAGAGCTATCAATAGCTTCAGAGTCTTCTGATGTGATTTTCTGGCTCTTAGAGCTCGCTTGATCTGAAAAGTACTCTTTATCTGGTGGAGCTCTCTCACTAATCAATCTCATCTGATCATCAAATATACCTCCACATTCTCCCCTTGTACAATAATCATGTTCCAGTAAGAAGGAAGAGTTTAAAGAGGGGGCATAGAGAGCATAACACTCTCCTAGATGTTCTTTAGGAGCCTCATTCCCCTCCAAATCATTCGTATCTTCACTAGAAATAAAAACCCCACCAATCTTCTCGAAATTAGCATCCTCCACTCCAATATTATTATCAACTGCATTAACAATAGCAACAGGAAAGGAAAGAAAGCATTTCTCCAAACTATTCCCCTTATCACTAGGGGTTGACAAGCGCTTCTGAGCCACTGAGCCACTCTCCATATCATCCTTTTCTTTATTTGATCCAGTGGTATCTGGTATAGATTCTGTCCCCTGAGCCTCTTTAGAATCCCCAACCTTATCATTCTGCCCTTCCAAATCATGATGATCACCTCTATCAAGTGCTGGTGTATAGCAGTCTGTCTCCTGATTTTCTCTAATCTCATTCGCCTTTTGCTTGTTCAAATTGGTAGAGGTTTTTGCAACTTCCTATTCCTTTTGGGTATGTTCGTCCCTCTCCATACTATGATTCACCTCTACAGGATCTGTGGTTTCATTCAATATATCAAAGCTATTTCCAATCACTGGGCCTTGAATCCCTATTTTTTGTCTGTATTCCTTTCTAGGCTTTTCCTTCTGTACATCAACAACATTGTTTTCCCTTTCCTGTTCTTCCATCCATTTCCAAGGGCAAGGCCATTATATTGATCAGGCTTCTGTTCAGAAGTAACCACCCCCTCTTCCTTCTTTTTACGGCATAAAGAATCATCGTGACCCTACTTGAGGCAAGCAGGGCAATATTTGAATTCCTTCTCATATACTATCTTCTGCCACTTATCACTCATACCTCCCATATCAAGCCAGAAACGTTTGGGATTGCTAACCAGAAGATTCATCTCCACACAGGCCCTAGCTAACCCAGGCCTAGAACGATTCAAAGTGGCATTGTCAATAACCAAGATTCTACCAATGGGGCTTAATATGTCTCTTAAGCTCTCTCTGTTAAAAAGATAAATAGGTAGGCCAGGTAGAGAGATCCAAACAGGAACCAATGGGGGTTCAATTCTGGGGTAAAATTTTTGGAACCCTTTGAAAAATCTAAATAGAAAGCCTTCAATGTAGGTGGTGTCCTTTAGCCAAACTTTAACATAATCTTCGTAGAGAGAAAACCGAATGAGTATACGCCTGGGATCCAAAACTCCTACGATAAAATCCCCTTTTAATAGCCACCTTGAATTTATGAATTCCTTCACCACTCCCAGTGAAGGCTTACCATAGGCACACTTGCCTATCAGGGAGAGAGAAAAACCTTTAGAAAGCTCTTGAGTTTCGTCTGGTGACTAGTACATGCCTGGTTCCCGTTGTCGAAGACCACTCTTTTAGCAGGCTTTGAGGCATTCACAGACATAAAGGAACCAAAGGTGATGCTGGTAGGGGAACTCTGGGCTCCTTGGTCATTCTGGGCATTCAATACAGGAACTGGAGGATGGTTTCCTTGTTCAGCCGAAGGAAAATGTGATTGTAGCAGAATATGGTCAGCCGAAGGGTCTTTAGGAGACGACTGGATATGGAGGTTCAACGATGATTGGGGATTTGCATTGACCCCATGAGTGATTTGAATATTTGTAAGGGCATTAGGAGTGTGGATCCCCAACTCAGGCGAAGGGATGTGGTTGTTCGTAGAAGGGCTCGCATTCACAGGAAAGGATGATGCTGGTGGGAGCTGAGCAGTCAGTTGGTGATGACGAACTTGAGGGAAGGGAGGCATAGGGTTGGTGTTATTGTAACGCAAAGGATCCATAAAGAAAACAGATTCGCCGATGCAGCTGGACTATTTTGGAGAATGTCGTTCGACGGTTTTGTGAATAGTGATGCGAAGTTCTTGGTAATGTCTGGTAGTTTGGGTGGAAGATTCAAAGAATTTTTTGTGGATGTGGTGGGAATACAAGGAAAATCAGTAGGCTTTGGTGGAATTTGGTTCAAAAGATGGGTTGAATCCATAATAAATGCATAGATCTACCGAAAAAGAAAGCCAAAGCAAAGAGTAAAGGTAGTGAAAAGTGAGAGCTTCTCTCACTAGAAACAAAAATTGCCTCCTAAACCCTAAACTCTTGAGTCAGAGGAATACTATATCTAATTGGTTGCAATTGTATAGCAAGTAACATAGAGAAGAAAGTTGGTCCCTTCTACAAGATTCCTCCTGAACCAGATTCCAGTACGAATTCAAAAGCAAGTATTCAAATTTATGTGTTTCTTTATAACACAATCCATGATAAGCTTCCCAAAAAGAACAGCTGTCGTATAACAAATGATGTACCAGAACTACAATTAAAAGGAGTTATACTGAACTATTAATCTTACTGAGAGTAATGTTAACTTTGTTAATTGATATGGTCCAATAGTATTTACTTTTGTAAGCGTTGCAACTTTTTTATTAGGGTCATGTTTGTAGACACACACATTCACATACACAACACCATACTCACAGCGCACACAATCGAACACACAACACACACTCACATTTGGGTATTTTGATTATTTTTGGTGTTTTCATAATTTGGGGTTTTTTTTTTGCATAATGTGAATGTTTTCGATAATTAGAGCAAAAAAAGGGTGATTTGGAAGTTTGGGTGTTTGATACTCTAACTGTGAATCCGATACAGTGATTTGTCTTCTTTATTTGATTAATATAACATGGTGTTTGCCCTCTCTATGTTTTTTGCTCCGATTGTGCTCTTTTGTGTTCCGTGAATTTTCAAATTTCATTTCAATGGATCATTCAATTTTTATTGGATGTTTAAAAACTTAATTTCTATAACTGTCTGTTTGTTCTCATTATTCTTATCGCATATTGTAGTGGAGTTTATTGGATCAAATCAACTAACATTGACCAATATGTAGACATTATGGCTTTATAAAAAGTTCTCCACCGTTATTCTTCAAGTTATCCCTTTTTTGTTATTTTTTTTTTCTGCTGTGTGAATTTGATGCAACTTTAATGGTAGATATTGCTTGCTTTGTTTAATTGTATAATGTCTTCTTATATGTACATGTTGAGGTTGGTGTTGGTTGTTATTGTGCCGGAACTAAAGCTTTGAGACATTTCTATGGGGGAATCACTCTAAGACTCGCAAGAATAGAGACATTAGGATTGTTTATTTTTAACCTAAGCAATTTGTTTTGCTGGTAAAGGGTGGTGAGTTCATTATCCAACATTCGTACTCATCTCTCTGATCTCATCTCCCTTTTCTCTCTTATCCCCATGATTTTTTGCTTTTCTTTGTTATTTCTTTTCTCTACAACACAACACACCTCTTGCTCCACACCCACACAGATAGTATGCACACACACACACACACACACACACACAACACAACCCGACTCACATAAAGCACACAACACAGCATATCCATGCATTCCCTTATTTTCTCTCCATTGCACCCCATTCTCTTCTTGCATCCACATGACGCCGCCATCGACCTCTCTCTCTCACCCTAAAACCCCCTCCCTCAACTAGCGACCCACACCGAAATGAACGGCCACGCCCCCACACCACCAATGACGCCACATGTGACCAATGATAGCAATTCCAATTTATTGTAAGCTTCAAAAGTTGAGTTTTTTTTTTAGTTTTAAAGCTGTTGAGGTTTTTGTGTTGAATTAGTGTTTCCTTTCAGTTTCTTGACTTTGATAATAAATGAGAATGTTAATCTATGTAGGTGATCGAAGAATTGATCAATGACGTTTACTGAAGGTTGCCCTGCTACATCTTAGGCTACCCATCGCTCTCTGATTTATGTATAATACACATACTGCATCTCATTTAGTTAATCTGTTGATTAGTTCTTCCATTTACAATGCCTTTATATTCCTTTTTATATATGCATTTGCTTCTGAATGTTGGATTTTCAGTTTGTTTGTGAGATGTTTTTCTATAAGACTTGAGGTTGTTGATATGATAGTTCTTATTCGTTTAGATGAATGTGTTTCTAATGATGCATTTTTAGGGCCGATGGAGTGAGTTGTTTACAACCATTGTCTGCTCTGTTATTGGTAGATACAACCTATAGTCCAATGAGGATTGAGGATGATGCATTGCCATTGTAGTTAGTTCAATTTTCTTGCCGGTTGGGATTTTTAAGTGAATAAAATTATCTATTGGTGTATTTTTTGGTGAATTGAATGCTCTGTAACATTACCATGAAGGGCTTTCTAAGGTTGGTTTTCCTTGCTGCTTTGGTGTTTAAAGCTTTCAACAAATTTAGTTATGTATCGAAATTATGGAAGGTTTTTGTATCCATTTCAAGATGGCAGGTTTGATAGAAAATTGAGTAGCCAATATGTTTTCTTTTATTTTTTATTGTTTGTACACAATTTTTATTTTTTCTTTTGCAATTTTTCTAATGTTTTTTAATTTAATTAGTTTCTCTTTCTGTGTGAAAAAAAAAAAAGTTTCTGAAACCCCTATAATGAAATCCAGAAGTTATGGTATATCTTTAATTCTTTATTTCTTCTTTTGACGGTAATTGAGCATTAATTTATTGAAACCCAACTTTATTTACCTTTTTAACCCACAAAGGTTTAATAATTTTTTTAAGTGTAGGAATGCACACATCTACTAATTTTTTTAGGAGATTTTCATTTATGATTTATTTTTAATGGGTTGGATTTGATAGGAAATATGATGCGATTTAAATTTAAATTTATGCTAATATTCTTTGGAGTTTGATTTGGGTGTATTAGTCTATATTTGGATTTGAAATTATGAAATTTTTTTTGGGGCCTGGGGGATGGAAGGGGGATTATGAAAAGAGGTTAAGGGACATGTTGTGCATACCATTCATTACTTCAAGTTTAGGCCTTGGTTTTGTTGAGGAAATCATGAGCCACCAGTTTTGTTCTCCTTGCTTACATGAGAGCAGTTGACTTTATGTTACTCGTTTGGTTTTGGTTTTGGTTTTGGTTTGTTTTTCAGTGTCTCTGCATGATTGTTTGGACGGGTTGATATTGAAATGAGAATGAATTTTGAAGATAGAATTGAATCGTGATTGTGAACTATAATGATCGTTATGTATGATTGTGAACTGTGAATTTTTTGGATCTTTGGTTGGATCTGCCTGTACAACACGTGTCTGTGGCCTTTGTTATTGTGAAACCTGGGAAAAATTTTAACTTTTTTTTAAAAAGGGTAAAATGGTAATTTGTCATTATAGTGCGGGTTGAAAACTGATATTTTTCTAGACCTCGGATGATGAAACGGACCTCACCGTTGGATTCGTCTCGCAAAATCTAGCTACCTAGACAAATTTCGTCGAATTCTAAGATAGTCAGATTTTTCACGTTTTTTGAGGTGACGGGTGTCCGGTGACCTCTAAAAACGAAATTTTTATAAAAATTTTAAAAATTGAAAAATATTTTAAATAAAGTTTATAGAAAATATTTTGAGTTTAAATTGGTACGAAATTTAATCGTTTCAGAGCGAAAAACAGATCCGAACTAAAGAGGACACTTGGCGCGACGAGGGCTAAGTTTTTAAAAGTATAAAAAGGACAAATATCTGAAAAGTCAGCTATTTCTTACCCATTTGCTGGCTGGTTTCAGACTCAAGAGAAGAGAGAGAGAGTTTTCATGTTTTTCTTTCGTCGATCCGCTAGGCTACGTCGGTCAGAATTGCTTGAACCAAGAATTAAAATTGGTCTACGCGACGAGGGTTACGTGTGGGTACCAAAAATGAAGGATTTCACTGAAGGTCTAAAGGGGAGATTTTGGGGAAATTAAGTCTTGGTAGGTATTTTCTAGAGCTCAAACCGAAAGGAAGGAGTGGTGCTCTCAATCCTAGACAGTAGGTGAGTTTCTTATTCATTTCATAAGCTACAATTATTTAATAATTCTGGAATTTTGAGGTTATAATGTAGACTGAAAAAGGATTCGTTTGGTTTTGGTTTCAAGTAAAATGGAGATAAATACGAGTTTTGGTGATTTTTGAAAGTTAGCCCCAACTTATAGAAACTGATCTGGAAAATCTGGACAGCATGTAGTTTCGTAATTGGTTTTATGAGTTAGAGTTCGTTTATGAATCTTAAACTTTGAGAGTTTGAAATAGATTCATAAAGGGTTATTTTGGCTTTGGTCTCATCATGCCAAAAGGATGAAAACTCTATTTTTGGTGAATTTCTAAAAATGATTATGACCTGTTGGAACCTGAAAATTTTGTAACTTACACTTAGTTTAGGAGTTACCTGGAACAGGTATTTAATGTTCAAAAATAGTGATTTTTGGTGAAAGATAATTCCTATGAGTCTATGTTCATCTCCCACATATTTTGTTAGAATTGGATTTTAATAACTAGAGTTAGAGTTGTTTTAACTCATGTAGGTTACCTGCAGAATGTTCAAAAATGCTAAACGTCTACGCTTAGTTGGAAAAGAACCCTACATGTGACATTAAAACTAAACAAGAGAGGAAGTGTTCTTGAGGCTGTCTACACTCATTTTGCACTTCTATTAAAGTAGGGATTCTCCTACTTTTGTTCATTCCTATTTAAAATGTTATATGTATTGTGTAGGATTTCTTCTATTTGGGTCAATTTTTAATCTAGAATGCCCATATGAAATGGTTAGTGGTATAAAATTTTTATAACTTGCCTATAGTCATGGAAATGGTGAATTAAGTATGCACAAAGTTCTAGTTAAATTTGTTATGTATGAGTTCTGTAAATAATTCCTTGATACTTGATGATATTTGATGTGTCTGGGGGCAATATTGTATGCTTACATGATTATTGCCTAGAAGGTGTGTCCT